TTCGGCTATTTTTTGCATGAACTATTTGTTATGACATATTTGCGAAACTTTCAGCATTCCTGGTAATAATTTATGTGCGAAACTCCTTTAGTGCGCCGAAATCGTAAGAACGTACAAAACGGTTTTTTCTTGAACCGCCACGGCGTGACCCATTAGGTCAGATGATTCGTTAGTAATTAACCTGTTAATAATTGCAGTAAAATAGAATTCTCAAAGTATCGTTTTTTTCAATGCAGAGCGAAGTGACTAAATATAAGAAATCATTAAATTGTTAAGAATCGTAAAAATAAATACACACATAATATTCAAAATTGATCGAATATCTAAAAAAACTGATGACCTACATGAACCAGTAGCTGTTTCCACTTGATAAGCCAGTAACATCCGGCTGCATCACTCGAGTGGTAAATTAATTATTAGTTAAAATATGTGTTTATTTCGAAGAAAAACAAAAAACAGGCACATGATTTAACTATTTATTAAATTACCACTCGGTTCATGCAACCGGGTCTCTAAGGCCTGGTTACACCGACATTATTTTAGTTTTAAGCGAAATTTAAACATATATCTATCTTTATATTTTTTTCTAAATAAATAAAGACAGACGTATATTTAAATCTCGCTTAAAACCAAAATAATGTTGGTGCAACCGAGCCTAAGGCCGATATTCATAGTCGAATCTTATTTCAAGACTGCTTTAAGTAATCCTTAAGATGCGAATATAGCTCTGTGATTAGTTCATGACATCTTGGAGTCGATTCTGTATTTCGAAACGAAGTGAAAATTACAAAAGTGAGCAAATATACTAGAATATTCGTAATTTCATTGGTCAGTGCCTAGTGAATGTGCTCACTTTTGTAATTTTTCCTTCGTTTCGAGATACAGAATTGACTCTCTTAAGACAGTACTTAAGATGATTTTAAATATAAGATCGGACTATGAATACCGGCCTATGGGAGAATTCACACTATGGTAGAAAAGCAAGAGCCAATCAGAACTCGTTATAATGAAAAAGCAGAAACCGTTAACTATCCCCTGACCACTAAGTGCGAGTTCTGATTGGCTCTGTTTTCTTCTTTTCTGCCAATGTGTAATTCTCCCGCCAGGAGTCACGAAATATTCATAAAGTTTCTGATCTATAATAACATATTATCGATGCCGAGCAAATCAGCGACTGTATCTTTTCAATATTTATTTTTATCAGAATCTCTTACACATAGCGAACTTATTAGAAGTATAATTGACATTATCCACTTTTTTAATGTTAAAGAAGGCTGAGGAATATTTAAAGTATTCCTTCCAATTTCAATGCGTTTCTTTGTGCAGATGTTAATTTGACCAGCAAGATCGGAAACGAGTGTGCATGGGCAGATGGCGATACTGGTGCAATGTCCTTTTCCTGTTCACACTTATACAAACCTAGCGTGAACGTAAGTTTTACAATAGAAAATATTGTTACACCAAGGTAATTTGCCGGGCAATAGTGCTGGAATTAGACAGAGCAAACGTTTGGTGACGATTAAGAGGTACTCTGTAGCTACTGATTGTACAGGTACAAAATGTAAATGAGTTTTCGCGCGATTAACTCACGCCCGAGTACGGTACATGTGACCGCATGGCCACATGTTTTGCTAGCTTCGTTGTTCGTCAAACATTTCTTTGGTGAATTCTGTTCGTTAGAGTCTTGCCCCGGTTGCGATTCACTTGTTACAGTACGAAAGCGAATCGTGAGATATCGAATTTTTTCGTTCCGGCACGAAGTCTAAGTTCAAACTACGTATAGATGCTTTTGGGAATATAAATCATGCTTCTCTAACGTTGCCTCTCAGTGCACAAATTATATTGTATAATTTGTTAAAAATTCATCCTTTATTGTTCATCGAGAAGTTCATTTTTCTTTATATTGTTTTGAATACTTTAACATTTATTATTTCAATACAACATAAGATTGTATTTTATGTTGGAATTATGTGATTTCTCAGATCATTTTCTTTCTTTCATATTTATATTGTGATTAATGTATCTTAAAACAGAGTAACTTTTTGATGATATAAACAGAGTATATAAACTATTGGTGATATAAACAGGAGAATTGTTTTGACAGATTTGTTAACATTGTTCTGTTACTAAT